CACGTGTGGCCCTGGGCATGGAAAGCCACCAAAGCTCCAGATGTTCCAACTTCAGCTGCGTAGGACCTTCAGAGATAAGTGTTTGGGGATGGGAGTCTCACCGGTCGTGGGCACTTCAGGTGGCTGGGTGCTGCTTGGGTGCTGCTTGGTGCTGCTTGGGTGCTGCTTGGGTGCTGCAAACAAACCCTAGCTGTCACCATGGGCAGACGTCATGCCCTGTCCCCTGCCCATGTGTCATTCCCTCTGTGGGGTCCCTGCTTTGGGGATCTGGTAAGAATGGCAGTGCTCCTTCAGGGAGCAGCTGTTGGGGATTTTTGTGTCCTGGCTGCCAGGAATAGCTGTCACGGGGCCACGTCCCCACACCGAACAAAGGGTGCCTCTTCTTGAGGCTTCTCAGGGCCTGCCTTTGGCTGCCAGGCCCCTGGGTGTGTCCTCACGCTGTCCCCAGCCTGAGCACGGCTGCAGCACCCAGACCAAGCACTCGGTGAGAACCTTTTGGGGTAGGGTAGTGCCGTTTGGGAGGGAACAAGGGCTCAGAGCCCTTCCCGCGTTGCTGGCCAGGGTGGCAGTGCTGCTGGCAGGCTCAGAAAGGTGTGTGATCCCCTGGGCATGGGATGTTTGCTGTGACAGAAGCTGGAGGCTCGACCTTATCCAGTGAGCCCAGAGAGAAGGGAACTGCCAAGCAGCGTGACCCCGAAGGTGGCTGGTCTTTGGGACACATGGCATACAACCACACGCGTGCCCGTTCACGCTCCAGATTCACCACTGGCTGAGTGAGCCCGGCTTGCGGGGAGATCTGGGCAAAGGCAGGCCCCTGCTCTTGGCCCTGCCGCTCTGGGGGCTTTTTGAAGAGCCAGGACTGGAAAGACACGATCTGGGTGAGCAGAGAAACAGGGAGGAGGGTGAAGCTCCCTTGGGCAAGGCAGCACGTGCTGCTGTGGTGGGGGGTTCTGATGTCTCTGTGTTTACCATGGCACAGGCGTTGCAACGATGAAGTTCAAGAACCCCCCGGTCAACAGCCTTAGCCTGGACTTCCTCACCGAGTTTTGCATAAGCCTGGAGAAGCTGGAGAACGACCGAGCCTGCCGTGGCGTGATCTTTACATCTGTATGTGTTTTCCTGAGCTCAGGGTGTGAGCTGCGGGGCAATTTGGCAGGCACGGGTGTCGTTCCTGTGCTCACGTTTGGTCTCTTGACTCCCTGGTCACTGGTACGGGAGGGCCAGGAGGCAGCTTTGATTGGCTCTGGGAGGAGGAGAGAGGGTTCTTGGTATGGCTGTGTTCTTTCTTCCCTGCCCTTTTCTAGCGGAAGAATAACAACCGAGTATTGTCATTTGTCATTAAAATCAAAGCTGCTTATCTGCAAACCTGACACATCCCTTGAGATCTCTTGAACTGCCTGGAGGGAGCTGCTAGGGGAAGCCAGTGTTTATTTTCAGACGTGATGTGGGTACGAGGTGGTGCCTGGGAATGCGACATGTTTTGTGCTGCGTGGCTGATGTACCCGCACAGGGACCCTGTTAATGAGAAATCGTGTTGCAAGCAAAAGAGTCCCAGCCCTGCAGGCCATGGTGATGGGATGATCCAGGCTGTGGGAGGACTGGGGAGAATGTTTCAGAACCCCGAAAGACCCTGGTTTATGTCATATTTAATTATCGTTTTTCCTTTCATCAGGCTGCCAGACCAAGTGCGTTAGAGGGCTAAAGGGTCATCCCTGAGCAGTGACTCTCAGTGACATTTGTATTTTCCCGATTCCAGGTTATCCCCAAAATCTTCTCATCTGGCCTGGACATCACCGAGATGTGTGGGAAGAGCATGGAGCACTACGCCGAGTTCTGGAGAGCCGTGCAGGAGATGTGGCTCCGGCTGTACGGCTCCAACATGGTGACAGTTGCCGCAGTCAATGTACGTCCTTTAGATCCGCCTTCCTAGTCGCCCCGCGTGGTCTGTCATTTGCTACAGCTTGTTTGCACCGTGTGGGCAGGGACAGCCAAAAAATCAGGCTTGTCAGTGCTGAAACAAATACAGGGATGTATTTGTTAGAATGTCTGGGCAAAGTACGTGTCTGTCGGTTCGGCGCATCGGGGTGTGGGAAGGTACGGAAGCGTGGGATGTTGCAGGCTCCGTGTAAGCTGCAGGCGCTGCTGGGGTACAGCAGCATTTTGGCTGCGGTGGAGAGCTTGCACGGCAGTCGTGTCCTGCCGATGGGGACTAGTGCCCTTGGGAGTGGTTTGTGCAGCAAGAGCCATACCCTGCCCCAAGAACTCGGCTGGGAGTCTGTCTTCCAGGCTGGAGGACCAGGAGAAGGACTGTAGGCCAGCGGTAAAGCCCAGAGGGGCATCGATAGCAGACGAGTGCCGGAGAAGCCGAGCGGTTGGCGTAGGAGGAGTCCAAAGAACGCCTGTCATGGGCCCACTGGCTGCTTTCTCACTGATGAGACTCGTAGGAGTTGCCCAGGGCTTGGCAACTCGCTTGGCCGTTGCACTGCTTCGATAGAGGAGAGGAGGTGGGAGACAGCCATGCAGTGCCGCAAGTGCTTGTCCTCGGCCCTGTGGGCAACAATGCTTCAGGCAGCACGGTTTGTCGTAAGCCCTTTTTTCACCGGGTTTTGCTCCTCCAGCCATGGTTCTTGGCCAGCAGGGAAGCGCCATTTGAATCTCAGTGTCTGTAGATGGGTTGTTACCTGCTCGGTGTCTTGTTTTCATTTTTCAGTGCAATGCCGCTTTGGCAGCTCATGGTTCTCTGTCCATCCATAGACTGTCTTTGAAGGCAGCTGAGTCTCCGAGCAGCTTCCTGCAGGCATCCTGTGCAGGGCGAAGCAAGCACCGAGTCGTGGCAAAGATGGTCGCAAATGGAGGTTTTATAGACAGAAGGTGTTACAAAGTCCCTGGACAGAAACGTTTCTGTGGCATTTAAGGTTACAAACTGAAGTAGGGTTAAAAACTCATGTAGGGTTACAAGAAAATGCTGTAGCAAATCTCCGCTGCAGGGTTTGCAACCTGAGTAACATGGATCAATTAACTAGATTTCCAGGCTGGAAAATGCAAGAAACAGAGAGTATTGAAAAATGAAAGGATAAACCCTGGTAAACCTATCAGAAATCTTCTTTAGGGCTGTTTCAAATCAAGTAATCAGAGACTTGGGCAATATCTGGTTGTTCTTCCCTGCTTCCCGTGTCTTCCCTGCTCTGGAGGAAGCAGTGAGGCTGGGGGCACAGGGACATTTGCAACCATAACCTAGACTCACTCCTTCCTCTCTTTCCCAGGGGTCCAGCCCGGCGGGAGGCTGTCTCCTTGCCTTGTCGTGTGACTACAGGATCATGGCGGAGAACCCCAAATTCAGCATCGGCCTGAATGAAGCCCAGCTGGGCATTGTGGCTCCCTTCTGGTAGGCCAGTGCCTTCCACTTCTAGTCTCACGTGTAGGTCTCAAAAAAAAAATTAATCTTCAAGGAGTTTATTAATCAGTTTAACTGGCCGCTGAGATGTAGTTTTATGTCAGTGATCAGGTAGTTGCAGCTGCAGGATGCAGCATCTCATTTCTCTGTCCTGTCCTGCTTGTATCTGAAAAGCTTTCAGGCTGCAGAATGTTCTCACGTCCTTCACCAGCGAGGACCTCAGTTCTGACTCTGCAGTCAACTCCGAAACTAGTGGTGGGAGATCTCCCTGGTCAAGCTCAGTCTGAGAATATGCTTTTCTGTGGGTACAGGCTGTGTACCTGCAAAATCCCATAGCTGTGGGGATCTCTGGAAGCGGAGGGGCACTAATATTCCAAGGCATGGATCCTTGGTTGCCCTAAGAATGTGTAAATATACTGTTAGAAAGGAGCTTTCACGTCACAGCAAGTGGGCACAGCTGGGACCTGTGCTCTGAGGGTAAATAGAGCAGCTCTTGTGGAGAGGAGGCTGTACTCTGTTGGGGTAGTACCGAAAATGGCTCTGCTCGCCTGACTTTGCACAGCGTGGCTGAGCCCCTAGCTGCTATTTGGAGCAGGACCAAGCGTGCTCTTAGCTTTGATGTCTGGGTGCGGCTGCCGCCAGGTGTTTCTTTCCCTGACCGTGGCTTTCTCTCCCATCTCTTCTAGGTTTAAGGACACATTTGTGAACGTTGTGGGACACCGAGTTGCTGAACGCTCCCTCCAGCTGGGCTCCCTCCACCCCGCACCCGAGGCCCACAAGTTTGGCCTCGTGGACGAGCTGGTGCCAGAGGAGAAGCTCCAGGAGAAGGCTATGGCGGTTATGGCACAGTGGCTGGCCCTTCCCGGTAAGGGCGGCACCTCCGGCAGAGGAAGAGGGGATCTGATCTTGGTGGGAAGGACAGGTGCCGGGGCTGGTACCTGTGACCTACGTAACAGTTTCCATTTAAAGGGAAGGTGTGGATGGCTGGGAGGTAGGAAAGCTCAGCACAGCGGTCCAGGCAGCCTTGGGCTAACAGAGACACGCTTGCCAGTGCTCCCGTGCAGGAGGAACCATGCTGGGTGTGCAGGGCATGTGGCTCCAGCTCAGAGCGCCCTGCCAGCCCTTCTGAGTCAATCCGGAGGTGCCTAAGCTCCAGATACAAACTGAATCTCTGTGTCTGTCAGCAGAGGTGTTACCCAAGGAAAGTTGTTGTGGAGTTGAGGGAACAGGCTGGGCGAGAGTGCCTGGGTGGCTGCCAGTCCGCCTTTGTGGTCTGGATCTACTCTCGTCACTCTGCGGAGCTGGGGATGGCGACGGGGGCGTGAGGACAGGCAGCAAGGGCAGACATCACATGCGTGTTTGGGCTGCTCCCTGACCGGCCGCGCATGGTTCCTGGGCTGGGAGAGGGCTCTCCATGGGCCAGGGCTAGCTCTGAGCTATCCCATCCCATGCCACCTCCTGAGTGCTGCAGCGAGGTGCAACTACTTAGCACTCTTCAGCTGCTCTTTCTGTAGAAATCTGAATGAAACTGGGCAGAAATGGATGGGTCCCAGGACTGTCACTGTGTCCCAGCCTTGGAAAAGGGTCCCTAAACAGCTCTCTCCCCTGCTGTCCTGGCGTTAGAGTGAAACCTCAGCCCCCAAGAGCGGGGAGCATGTCTCAGCTGTGCTCTCTCCTGACTTCCAGGAGGCACCGTGCAGATCCTGCCCCAGAGCCCTAAATCAGAGCCAGGGTGGAGCCTGTCTGGGTGAAGGTGTCTGTAGCACGCAAGTGCTGGAGCGATTTGGGGTTCCCAGTGCATGAGGGGGTTGATCATCATTTCACTGTCACTGTTGCAGCACGCTGAGAGTGCGTATGCAACATCTGTGCAACAGATGTGCAGCTGCATCATTGCGCGTGGCTCTGTGTGTGCTCGAGGCTTCGGTCAGCTCCAGCAGCACCCACGTGTCCGTACTGAACTGGCCCAGAGCCTGCTCTTGGGATGAGCTCGAGGGGACAGCGCTGCTGGCTTTTGTACGGCGTGTTTGGCATGAGCAGGCTGTCTTGCCAGACGTCAAAAGGGTTGGGTTAGGGAGCTTAGAGCCAGAGCAGTTTCAAATAGCGGAGAATTTTGTTCGGTTACTGCTGTCCTGAGCCCGGTGGTGTGTACTAGAGTGGGGGCTGGGCTCTGGAGGGTGCAAAGAGAAGGAGGTGCACAATTTTTTGGCATCTGTCCCAGTAGATCAGTCATTTTCCCCACTGAGCGGTACAGATCATAATTTATTGTATGAGAATTTATCCAGTTCAGCTTCCAGCCGGTGGGTTTTTCTTACACCTTTCCCTGCTGGTTTAAAAAGCCCTTTGGTGTGCCGTACCTCCCCTTTGGAGGGACCTGCACATGGTGGCAGTGGCCGAGAGCTGGTCAGGGTTGAGGACCGCACACGTTCCCCATCCTCGCTCTCCTTTCCACAGACCATGCCCGTCAGCTCACCAAGTCCATGATGAGGAAGGTGGTGTTGGACCGCCTGGTAGCTCACCGGGAGGAAGACATTCAGAACTTCATCACCTTCATCTCAAAAGAGTCCATCCAGAAGTCACTTCGCATGTACATGGAGATGCTAAAGAAGAAGAAGAGCTGAGGAGCCAGCCAGCTGGCTGGGGCCCGGTCCTGGGAGCTTGAGTGACCCTCCAAAACGCTGCAGTAGCTGTAGACTTTCACAGTGAAGCCATCTGCAGTGTCGGCAATTGATGATGTGATGCCTGCTCCCATGGCCGCCCCGACCGCCCCTTCCCCTTAGTCCCCATAGAGTGCCTGACACCACCGCTGCCTTTCCTGAGAGCGGGGGGAGCTGCCTGCTCGGCCTCCCCGAGGAACAGACAGGGAGAAGGTCCTGACACCGCTGCGGCCCGAGCCTGCCGGTCCTTGGATATCCTCCCTCCTGTCCAACAGCTAATTGTGAAATGAGATTTGTCAATAAAGTCTTTGATGAGGTAGGACACGGATGCGTCATTCCCCAGCCTGTCTGCGGTCACCGCTTCCTGGCTGGTGGCGTGTCCCTGGGCTCTGGTTCGTGGTGGGCTGGGGGTGCTCTGGCGTGAGCCATGTGGGCTGGGGGGGCCTGGGCAC